CACATTACTGAATATTTGTGTGTCTGTGTTTGAGTGGGCACGATGTTACGGTGGCACTTGAAAAATATCTTTCACTGGCATGAAACGCCAGTGAATGTCAATAAACTTTTTAGGTGGATCAGTGATGGGTGATCGGCCGCGTTTTTTTTAAAATTGAAATACGAAAACCCTTCAAAACGTCCCGAAAGGGTGCACGAAGGTTGCAACCGTGTACATTCGATTGCACAGTGGAAGGGTTGTCATCTGGCACCGTATCTTGGCCATCGGTCAAGTGCATCTATTTCACTGGCATGGCTACCTTACAGTGTGTACTGCATAAGAGGAGCAGACCGTGCCGTGGAAGTCAGTCGAAGCCAGCCATAGCCAGCCAGCCAAATTTAGAGCATATTTATAATCGTGCGTGTAGGCTGCGTCCAGGTGCATTTCCTGTACTATGGGAAGGATGCAGTCGGTCACCGTAATATCGTGTTCGGTCGAAGATGCTTATTGTATTGGTGCGCAGCCTTAACAGCACATTACTGAATGCTGGCGTTCGGCCCGGATGTGGAGGCGAAAATACAGCAGTCGTGAAGAACCATTTGCGATCGTGCGGGGAGGGTGCGTCTGTGCGATTTCGATGGATTTTGAGGGTTACAGACTGACACTGCAGCTAGTGCTGGGCCGAAGGCATGTTTTTTATTGCTTTGACCCCATCACAACGCTTTACATAATGCGGGCGGCCGCCGCAGCGTGCATTTATTAAATCACAGCAACCTTCCAAACATATTTGTAATTTGTCCAACTGGCACAAGCGTCTGTACTCGATAGCATTATGCGTGGGTGGTGGAGACTATCAATTGACACGATAACCTGATCATCGGCCAACGGCGCCTATTTTACTGGTATAATCCTTTACAGCACATTATTGATGGCCGGCGACCAAGCGGGACATCGTGGCGAAACTGCGGCAGCCATTAAAAAAAATCGCAGACGTGTCCGCCGGGTGCATCAGTTATGATTTGATGGCGGTGTCGAAGACATCTTTTTAGGTGGCATGGCAGCCTTACAGTCAGTTACCGAATGCAGTCGGCCGGGCGGAGCGTGGAGTTGCTAGAATTTGGAGGCCTTATATATATATATATATATATATATATACATATGTATATAGTCTCCCAATTATATAGGTATATATTTAAATATTATGTATATCTATATATATAATCGTGCAACAACAGTGCTACCAAACGCATTTCTGAGCACTGTGGTTAGCCAATAAACTGGCCTGTGACTGCTTATCAGCCAACGGCCCTTATGTCATTCGTTTGGGCCGGGGGTAAAATGATGGCGAAAATTCAACATCCATTTATGCATTTTACCGAGGAAATAAAATGGGACGTTAGCATGACAGATGGGGTCATTGCTACGGCTCCATTCAAGAAAGCCCTGGTTCGAATCTAGTATTTCCAAGGGGAGAATTCGGCATGTGACGCATACATGCCTGATAGCCCAAGTGTCATCCAGTCCTACCCAGGACTCCAAAATACTTAGCGAAGACCGATGGTTAAGGGGAATGTTTCACCTTTGAAAATGTTGAGGCAAGCGTTAAACATGATGAAACAAGTTCACTTGTACCCATTGGTAAGCATTTAAGTGGAAAACCCATTGGTATGCATTTAAGTGGAAAGGACTGTTCTAGACAGTGAAAGCCTATGCTAGTGTCCCGTGTCAGAACTTCAACTGCAGTGAACGGGCTGACTCGCTTGTAGTACATCGACCTGCCGAAAGGTGACTAGTTAACAGGTGAATGCTGGCGAAACCCGAAAATGTCGTTATTGGCGCGTATTTTTGTCCTTTGTCCTGTAGTGTTCTTGGATTACTGTGCATGGTTTTACATTTTTTCTTGCATTCATATACTAGGTTTTTGGTGTCTTCTTATAGGGATCGCTCCACACCTGTGTGGGTTTTCAAAACTGAAATCACAATCTAGGAAATCACTGGATGCAGTACACAGTCCCGTCCTTCTTAAAACCTAAACCCCTCTAGTTTCTGAACTATACGTCCTCAAAAATGTGCAGACTATTTCGGGGAGACTATTTCAAAGTGAACGAAGCATTCATGACGCTATCATAACATCACCAAAATTTAGCGATTCCATGAGCCATACGGCGATTAAGGCCAAGAAAATGTAACTGTGAAGTCGTTCACATATGGCGTTTGTCATATGTGAAGTCGTTCACATCTGGCGTTCGTCAGGACGGTTTCCAGATATAACGGCCGTGAAATGAATGCAATGTTGTGCAAGGTACGATTACCTAATCAAACAATTGCTTACTGAGGAGCAGATTTGATAAACACACATTGTGTTCTCTAGAGCGGTCTTTTCCGCTTAACATCATACCAAAAGTTATAAGTGATTATATTTCGTCACATCTGATGCTTGCTTCAATATCTTCACATCTCTTTTTATCGGCGCAACTCCTTGAAAGTGGATTACGGAGTGCGGGTCGATCGCGGTGGCCAAAATGCGGTAGCCATTTCAACATAGTGATAATCGTGCACGAAGGGTGCAACCATGTGCAGTTGGTAGCGCTATAAGAGACCTGCCATCTAGCTCGGTAACATCTTGCTTGGTGGAAGGCACCTATTTTGTTGATGTGACGCCATGCCAGCGTACCAGGGAATGCAGGCGGCTGGACGTGACGTGGATTTCCTAATGTACGGAAGCCCTTCCGAAACATTATTATTAACTGCACGCAGAATGCATGGACGCATGCATTTGGAAGACATCATGGATGGCTATGATATGACGATGTAACGTGATCTTCGGCCGACGGGAATATTCTGCTGGAATGACCCATCGACAGCGCATTACTGAACCCAAGCGGTGGGAGGAAGCCTGGTGGTGACACACGGCAGCCATTGATAATAGTCATAATCGTGAGCAGAGTGCAGCCATACACATTTCATTTCACCTGGCAAGCACTGCCAGCTGGCACGGTAACACGATGCTCTGCCGGAGGCCCCTGCTTTATTGGTATGATCCCTTACAATAATTACCGAATCGGGTGGCCAGTCGAGCGGGGCTCAGGTCGAATACGGCAGACTATTAGCAATGTCTTTACTGTGCACACATGCGCAGATTCGATGCATTCGATAGCGCTGTAGATGGGCTATTAACTGGTACCGTAGCATGGCCATTGGTCAATGACATCTATCTCATTCTGTGGTCACCGGGTTTTCTGAGGTCTGCCGTTATCTGAGATCGGCGATGGACCGCCCAAGAGGTGGCCAGTCGGATCATGGCCGCACATATCTTGCGATGACCTGAGACCTGGACCTGATGATCTCATGACCTGATGACCTGAGCACTTACCTCTTATCCGTCGGGCCGTCAGGCCGCCTCTCAGGGTGCGGATCGCGCTCTCAGCTGCCGCTAATCGCGTGTCGGCGCCTGTGCGTCTGTGCTGTTGCCTGCTGACCTCACCACATTACGACACACCAGCCCTAGCATGCGCAGCACGGTGGCACGCGAAAAAAATTGACAACTACATCCACTTGCCGAGGGCCAGTTTGCGCACAGGTACCATACAACCACTGAGCATGTTACAGAAGTCAGTCTTGGGTCCCTTGTTATTAAGCGTTGTCGCGAACTGCAAAGTGAAGCCTTTTCCGGAAAACGGCATCAAGCAGCGCGCCGCCTTCCGGAGAAAAGCTACACTATGACACTTAGGTGCTCATCACTGGAAGAAATAGGGATCACCTAGCGCTGATTCCCATAGCCCCGTATCGACAATTCTCACTTCTTTCTAGATGTGTATGGTTCTGCTCGAACGCTGTCAAAATCAACGCGTCAAACATATATATTATCATTTTCGGAAACCACCAAAATCCGTGCAAACTCTCACATTTTCAAGTCGCCTTCAGCGGTATACCCCTTGCACATTACAGTGAGGTAAGAATGTGGGTATCGCTTTTGATCAGACAGGTTGTGTGACGGTCATGTGACACAAGCTGCTGCTGCTGCTGCACAGGCCCGTTGGCCGGCCTCTCTCATGCCCGCCACCTCGTACCAGATAACATCATCATCGCGTTGGCCACCACCACGGCTCTCACCCTCTCACACGTCAAGTAGCGCTTTCCGGTTTATGGTAATAGCGCCAAAAAGAGCATGGACGCGATGCAAGAAGTACTGAGCTTCAACGCTCGGGCTATCTTCGGGCGTCGTTAGTTCGGCCGTGCGTCTGACCTGCGAGGGAAGCATGGTTAGCTGACCGCTCGCTGATCTTCCGAAGCAAATGCTTCTGTTTGAGCGCGAAGCAGGAGCAGAAGGCAGGGTCATCTGTTTTACGTGCCCGACTCGAAACCATGGCTGGAAAACGGCGCTTGTCCGCCAGAGCGCCGCACTTAAATACCGAGCTCGAGCTCGAACTCAGGGTGCAGACATGGGGAGGGGAATCGCGTGCGCCGTCAGGCGCCATGTACCAGATTGGCAACCGGAAAAGGTCGCTGCCGGAAATATGTGGAAGTCTTCTCTCGTCCGCACAAGCATGACATTTAGATGTAGCTGTACTGCATGACGGAACGACTGCATACACCGCATGATGACTGCATGTTTTATTGTCTCATATGTGACTCGGGGATTAAAGACGCTGCAACAGTGGGTTACTCCACATCAATGTATGCATATCACGTGCAGCACGCAGGATAGCATACGGAGTTTCAATGCGTTAGCCAGAGAACATAGGACTCATTGAAACTATTGCGATAGATACCAGCCTACCATTACTATTGAAAGAGACCTGTACACCGGAAGCGACTTATCTTACACTCAACTAAGCAACAGGCTCAGATTGCATTCAGGTTCATATTCGGTACGCGTTCGCTATGCATTAAGCAAAAAACTCCATATCTCTTTTCTCATTGCTACCAAATTAGACGTTTCCGAATGGTGGAATACCTTTGCGACGTGTCCGATTGAACGCGCCGACCACAGCGTGTTGGAACGTACGGGTTGCGATCGAGTGCTTGACGTGCGGATGCGCGCGTTCTCCGAAGGTTCTAACCCGTGACCCGGAAAGTCGGTGGCGGTTGCGTGGGTAACTTATTGAGAGCCCAGTCTTGCATGGCTCATTCTGTGGCTCAGTGAAGCTCGCACTCGGAGAACCTAACGATCTGATTTGGAGCTGGACTTCGAGTGCCCTTGTTTTCGTGCCGGTCATTCGTAAGGAAGTCGGAATGAAAGTGGTGGATACTTTCACATATTCATTTGCCATGATGGATAATGGCACCATTTTGCTTCTGCTGGTATACTTTGTATCCTTTTCATACTGATCTTGTATATTTGATTTTTGTTTTGCTTGTTGGTTCTGTATTTTATCATGTTTTGTCTGATAAGTGTGCAAATGCAAGGTCGCACCATTTTGCAAGGAGGCAAGGTGGTGGGGTCCCAGGGTCTTGGAATTCCCCTCTACAAGAAATACCTTCCACCACACCAGATATTCATATGCCATTGGTGTGCCAAACTGGAAGTACATGTATGTCAAGCTTAATTAATGTCATAATAGGCTTAACTTAAGCTTTTTTTTATTTTGAGACATTTTGGGAAAATGTTCACCTGAATTGGCTGCTTTAGAATCACAATGCCTTGAATCATTGGCTCCATGCATAGATGAGAAACAATTGTGTGGCAAACTCCTGAGTGCTCAGAGTTATGGTGTGTATGCATTGAAATGGTAGTCAGGATGATGGATGATGGGTATCACTTCACTGTGCTGCTTCTCTGGGTATGCTTGATATAATGTTGCTATGCTGGACACACTTCATATTGTTTTTTGCATTTTTACACTACTTGTGGGGTGGCTGGGACACCTACTTCTTATTCTTACAAAGGTTTTTTAACCCTAAACCAGGATACAAGTATTTTAAGAGTACTGGTACCCTCAATAGTTAATCCTGGTTACACACCTGTATGGTCAGGCATCAAATAAGACATGCATTATGCTTGGAATGCTATAAAAATAAGTGATACACCACTCTTTCTTCAACAGACCCAACACCTTGCACCACTTGCCATGTGGTAGGTCTAGGTACCATTTTCTACATACTACACAATGGTAAGAGAACAGCACACAAACTATTTTAGATCCTGTGTCTTGTTTTCCATAACCTATGCCACAAGCCATGTGACAGCAGATGATTTGCCATGCTGCAGGTATAGGCAATGTTATCATACCTTGAAAAAGTAGCACAGCTTTTATTCATGCTGAGATTAAAACCAGACTATGTACATGCTGAGGTCAGTGATCACATAATTATAACATAATCAGGGTACAGTAGGAAACAGGATGTGAAATGAATTAGGAGGTTTGCATCATCTCCATCAACCTTTAATGCAATGACAACTGTGTCCTAGGCTCAAACCCTGAAATTTCTCATGTCATGAAGACTTTACTTAATATTGAAGGAACATTATGCACAACAAGAGTTGAGATTGACTATATTGACAATTGTGGTCAGTGTATTAGTATTGATATTTACTGTTGTAACAATTCAGCTTATGCTTTGAAAATGAGCTAATACCCTGCTACTATTTATATTTCAAGGTGTTTTCCTAACCCAAGTCATGGAAGTCTTATTTGTAATTGTTTGCAGCATATTTGGCTGAAGGATTTTGGAATGCTGTCTCTGTGTCTTATGAATGTTTATTCCTTAACTAGATTTCAGGTGATAACACTTTCTGACCTAGAATGTGATTACCTGAATGCCAGAGAATGCTGCAGCAAACTAAACTGGGTGAGTATGTAAGGCCTGCAGTAGCCTAGGGTTATGATTCCTTACAGGTCTATTAAAGGAGGTGCAATATAAAGACTTCACCTATAATAGAGCAGGTGTGTTATTTGCTCCCGTGAGTCTTTTCACCCTGCGGAACAATGCATTGCTGCCCATGATTCTGCCATGCTTCGAACATTCCATGCAAGTCCTGTATTTTAAAGTGGGCTGTTTCTGATTCAGATATACTGAAGAAAACATCAGATATGATGAAACAACCTCACATATTATTGGTATGCTTTTTAAGTGAAACATAATGCTCTAGACTGCACAAATCCCTGTTTGGTAAATGTGCTACTGAATGTGTCATAGTTTGCTTATGTCATCGTGCCTTGCACAGCATTGATCGAGAGCTATTAATGGCTGTGATATCAGAAAACCCTGCTCACAAATGCCAGATATGAATGCCTCGCCAAATATATTTTTCTTGGCGTTGGTCGGACTTTGAAATACTCTTCCCAATAAACCTTTCTCTATTTTCACAATGTGTAGCTCAGAAAGTAGAGGGGCTTAGGTCTTAAGAAGGGCAAGGTTGTGAACATTGTGGTTGTGAACCGAAAGGCAATGCATTCGTAGGATTTGAAGGAACGATGGGAATAATATGTATAGTCCTGCACTACGGGCCCATGAGACCGATGGATCCAGTCTCAGGACCACGTCAGTGCTGAAATTTCCCATGCTGTTCTGGGACGTCTGAGGGTGAACGTTCTGCGAAGCGACCTCAACTGTGGCGCGATGGCAGTTAGATACCCTAACATGACAGCGGCGCGGGGGGACAGTGCATTGGAACGCGTGAGGTCTCGGGTCGCGCCGACGTCACCCGGGTGTCTTACTCGCCGGGTCTGACTCCCTTCGGCTCCTCTGCAAGATCGCCGCTGTTTCGGCGAGGAGGAGATCCAGCGCGAATATCAGGCATTGCTTAGTACGCTGAAAAAAATACGGAACTTCTAGGGAGCGTTGCAAGCGTGGCAGAAGCGCATGCGTTTTGGACCTCTCGGCACAAAGTAACTACTTCGAAGGGAAGTCCGACTAAATTTCAATGTCTTCCTTTTTAAAGGCATAGTGTTGGAACCTTTTCATCGCAGCTCTTGCCCTGAAGCTGTCTGGATAGAAGCTCTAAGAGGTACCGTGGGTTTCTTTTGGTATAAATGCTGTTTTGTGCCGCGTTGCATCGATAACAGTCTGGCTACTTCGGAAGCGCCTCGTCTATTTGGTGTGGTGGATGGCTGTACAGCCGCTGCCTGACCGCCTGAACCTGTCGCTGCAGTGGTCGCCGTGGCTGATCGGCGGCCAGGTGGCGCTCTCCGTCGTCCTGCTGCTCACCGGCCACTGGCTGCTCTGTCTCTGTAACGTGCCCGTGCTCGTCTGGATGGTGTACAGGTCAGTCGCACTGCCCAGCCATCGGGCCGTTTATGCGCCGTTAGATGTGTGGATGAGCGGTGCTTAAGAGTGTTCGCCAGCTGTGCCATGCGTCTCATTGGCGTAGCGGGGGTGATTGCAGGGATGCATACGCACCCCAGGCGCATGTCAAATCGTGGTGCAAGTGGTTTGCTGTTAAACGCATTTCACCTTGCCCATGACGTAGATGATTTACGTTCCTTTTTATTCGTCAATAATATCAACTGTGCTACGATTTTGAAAAAAAATCAGACATTGCAATGCAACTGCGTCTCACCTTAACACCGACCGTGACTACGTGCGGTGCATGGTTTGTCAGCTGCTGCGTATTCAAAATGGCTAAATCCGAAACCTGCATGTGGTGCAGTTTTGTCGAAGCATAAAGAGGACAGTTCTAATGCTAGTTTGTTCAAATATGCAATATGAGCCATGCATCAGCATTAGTTAGAATGGCGCGTAGGCATTTTCAGAAACAATTGTTTCGGTTTATTTCAGTTCTAGCTTTCAAGCTTGTGCCTGCCGATTGCTCCCCGTTGAGTTTAGGCAGCGCAGATAGGTCATAATGTAGTCCGCGTGGGCCGAAGAATCTTGACTTTGCACCCGCTATCTGACACGGCGTGTATACCCTTGGACATCCTGATGTTGACTTGTTCGAAGTGAACGGTACCTCATAACACATAGCAGATGTTAGCTCATGGCACTGCATCCTTTTCTGAACTGGGTAATTGTTAACTCCTAGCTGCTGCAGGCATTACCTATTCAGACGGCTGACGACTTGGGTTCTTGCCACGACTACGCTGTTCTAATTTTTGACTAATATAGGGTTTTTAGTTATTTGCACACCTTGGTCGTTAGTAACTGTTTTGGGCTCAAAATGGCCTTAGAAAGTCGGCGTGCTCTAAATTCTCAATCATCACAGTTCGCAGCAGCTCGCGTCAGCTGTGGCCTTGACATCCGCTATTGGCGTGATATCAGAATGATAGTTGGCGTTTTCCTCAATAGGTGGCGGTTCGTCGGGAATTGCGCGCACAGAAGTGTTGTAAAATAAGTGAATTGTTGAATTACGTGGCTTTATTTGTGTGAACTTTGGGGAAAGAACATTGATTTGAACAGTAAGACTATAATAATCGCTGAAGTGTATGCCTATGTGTTTTGCGAATCTCACAGATCTATTGCTTTCAAGACCATGGAACTTTGGGAGCGGGATGTGTGGCGCACTGTCTTCCGCTAAGTTGAGATGAAGAACTTTTTTGTCTCGATCAGATCAGCAGTGGCTCATTTTGCAGTGGCTCGCGTTATAGGCTGTTGTGACCAAAGCGTTCCGAAACACGCAAGCAAGTTTGTAGCAAATAGTCTGGATGGATATGGGCTCCTTCCATAGGCTGTCGTGAATTGAGCCTTCGCCCGTGTTGTTTTGCAGTTCTTTCTCACTTTGGGCACCAGCATGTATGGTTTGGACCTGCTTGAAAAAAATGGGACGCTAGTTACCTCCCGTAGGTCACCTCTTGTTCGCTAGTGTCGGAGAAAATTGGTCTGAGAAGTTGTTCTGTAGACGGTACATGTGTACTTCATACAGTTGGTTTTATGGTGTTGTCGTCCGGGAGTGCCGACGCCTGACATTAGTCGTGAAAGCGCCCAAAAGCTGCTGGATCCGCGGTTTTTGCAGCGCGTGCGCCACGGCCCGCATTGACCCGCGCGGTCGCCAGCGCGATTGGCGGCTCCTTGCGGAGTCGACGTGTACTCATTTCGGTCCGTTGTGGTCCCTCGCTGCCAAAATAGGAGCTTGGTTACTGTTCCAACCTTATGCGTCAGAAAATTTGTCACATTGTACCAATATGACACGTTTGCACACGCCACGCCCGACACGTGACGGTGAGCAGTGTCTATGAGGCATTCCACCACCATACGCACAAGGTCGTCGACCTGTCAAAAACCCAAAAGGCCACAATTCTCCAAAAGTTTTGCACTCCGTTACATGCGGATTTTTGTGACGATCTCTCTCTCTCTCTCTCTCTCCTCTCTCTCTCTTTCTCTCTCTCTCTCTCTCTCTCTCTCTCTCTCTCCTCTCTTCTCTCTCTTCTCTCCTTCTTCTCTCTCTCTCTCTCTCTCTCTCTCTCTCTCTCTCTCTCTCTCTCTCTCTCTCTCTCTCTCTCTCTCTCTTCTCTCCTCTCTCCTCTCTCCTCTCTCTCTCTCTCTCTCTCTTCTTCTCTCTCTCTCTCTCCTCTCTCTCTCTCTCTCTCTCTCTCTCGCCTCTCGCTCTCGCTCTCGCTCAGCGCTCCCGCGCTCTCGCGCCCGCCGCCCGCGCCTCGCCGCGCCGCGCCCGCGCCTCTCCGCGCCCGCGCCCGCCCCGCGACCGCTCCCGCTCAGCGCTCGGCGGCTCGCTCTCGGTCTCGGGGTCTCTCTAGGTCTCCGTGTTCGTTCTATCTCTTCCCTTTCGTTTTGCTCTCTGCACAACGATTTGTGATGTAGCTGGGATCATTCATAGTTCCAGTTAGATGCCAAACTGGTATCACTTGTGATTGTGATGCCATCTCCGCATGTGACCTTCAGCACGCATGCAACATATGCTACGCTGAGTTAAGCATTTACGCGTGAAATGAGGGGACTTACTAGAGCGCAAATTGTGTCATATGTATCGCATTGGTTATTGTAATTCATGGTGTAATTTATTCCCTCTGCAAAGCCTTCTTGTATCTGGGTAGCGCTTTTGTCGTCGGATCGTGTCCAGTTGTATCCCCTATTTTTTCAGACAATGGAAGGTGCGACCTGGGAACATTGGCATATACGACCCTGCCGAGATCCTCAATGGAGGACAACTGCACGTGCATACCAGGAACACCATGATATTCATCACCTTTTATCTCATATTTTTCTTCATTTATTTGTACCTGTAAGTGAATCAGCTTTCCATTTGCAAGTTCATAGTTGTACGAAGTCAGACCTTCCCTATTTATTCGAGGTATTGGTACGGCGTGTTGCAATTATAATGCAAGAACGCTTGGTTACAGAAGACGTTTATAATACGATAAGCTTCCTGTTTAAAAATTGTTGAATAATTTTGCCTGTATTTGCTTGATCGTTTCACAGTCCCATAATTCGAATTGCGTCTCACAATCGGTCTAAAATCTTGCTTCGTGTCATCACTCAGCTGTCCGCTGGAACCACTCATTTTTGTTTGGCCCGCGCTGGCTAACGCCGGCGCTTTTCGGCAGGTTTATCCTGACGCTGCTGCAGAGCGACGACAAGCCGCCCGCGCCTGTGTACGAGCCGCGCCACCTGTAGCGTTCGAGGCGGGCAGCGGCGCCCCTGCCGGGCCTAGTCTCAGCCGCCAGTCCGGCCGCCCGGGCAGACGACGGCAGCGGATAGGCCGTGCTGGCTGGCCGGCGGTGGCGCTGCGGCAGACTGGAGGCGCCCGCCGTGGCCTGAGCGCGCTGGGGTGTGTTGGGCCGGCGCCGCGACCAGCGGTCGGAGTGGCGAGGAGCGATCTTCGGGGCTGGGCTCGGTCGGAGTGGCGAGGAGCGATCTTCGGGGCTGGGCTCTGTCTGAGTGGCGAGGAGCGATCTTCGGGGCTGGGCTCTGTCGGAGCGCGGCGCTCAGCGAGCGGGTCCACTGCTCAGAAGAGACGGAGGCGCACCGGCTGCTGTTTGCAGACGGTCACCAGGGCGGCGCCCGACGCCCCGCCGCTCGTTGTCACCAGGGCGGCGCCCGACGCCCCGCCGTTCGTGGTCACTAGGGTGGCGCCCGACGCCCCGCCGCTCGTGGTCACCAGGGCGGCACCTGACGCCCCGCCGTGGGCGCCCAAACGCCCTGCCGCTCGTGGTCAACTAGGGCGGCGCCCGAGAGCCCCGACCGCTCGTGGTCACACTGGGCGGACGCCGGACGCCCCGCGCTCGTGGCCACCAGGGCGGCGCCCGGCCGCCCCGCCGCTCGTGGTCACTAGGGCGGCGCCGGACGCCCCGCCGCTCGTGGTCACCAGGGCGGCGCCCGACGCCCCGCCGCTCGTGGTCACTAAGGTGGCGCCGACTGCCCCGCCGCCTCATGTGCCGCAGTGTGCTCAAGAGTGAGCTTCGTGTCACTAGTCGTGTAGTTCTATGCCACTCAAGGAAACGTGTGAACGTTGGACCGGGCGTGGGCTTGAGTCCACCCGCAGTTGGAATTCAATTCTAGTAGAGGAACTAGAATGGAGCGGTAAAACAACATAATTTGGGACTCTGAGCAGGATGGAACCGTTTTTCTACCGTTAGATCTTTTTCAGACCATTGTTGGTATTCTTCCTTACCACGTAGGCAACAGCAATGAACTCCGACTTAAGACAAAAATAACGTGGACAGAACCCAGGCTCAAAGCGTCTGAAGCCTGGGACGTAGTTACATAATCGAACGTTTTGCAGGCGTAGCTTTGAGATTAGTCTGTGCTGAACAACGCACGTGGGGACGCGCTACGACCATAATGCCGTAAATCCGGCTGAGTGGAAAATCTTGGGCAGGAACATATGGCATTGCCATGTTATGTCATGACACGGCTGCTCCGTGCCAGTCCTGCCCTCTCATGGCCGGGTTGAGTTGACTGCCCTTGGTGACCAAAATAGAACATCCTCTCTGGAACGTAGGCCCATGTGGAAAATTTTACCTGATTAGCTATCGTGTGACGCCAACCGAATGCATTTAGCGGATATTGACAATGAACGTATAAGAGGGTTGAACTCTTATCCTACCAAGTAAAAACTATCGAGGATGAAGATTAGCTTGCATTAATATTTTGTTCAGTTTATTTCGTAATGGGTACCTAATCTTACCAAAACGTATAAACACGCCACCCAGCGATCTTCATCCTTGATTATTTTTACTTGGCAGGATTCTATGATTCGGGCTCGATGACCTGAGTTTCGAACCCGGACCCAAGATACCGGGATACAAAGTCGAATTCACGTAGTGCGGAAATGGTGCACTGTGACTCGGGCTCTTGCTCGAAGACGCCAGGACTCGGACTCGGGGGACCAGGACGCGGTCCTGGACTTTTGGTCTCAGACCCGCGCCTGCTTTCAATGTTCGGTGCCTGTTGTGTTTCACGTTTCCTCGAAGTCGCAATGTTCACAACTGACCTTCAGTGACCTACGTGATCGTGATGTTTGTGATTCTAGTGCTGCTAGTCCTCTTTGCGCATGCAAAGCCAAGAGCTTTTATTTGGCATGAAGGATGCGAGAAGTTATGATATGCTGTCAGCTGAGTTTGTATCTTGCTATTTCCGGGTGGGCTCAAGAGAACATGGCCATCTCTTGATACTGATGTGGCATTGAACATGCTTGATGTCGCAGGTCACAGGACCATTGGCATTGGTCTGACGCCTGCAAGGCCTGATTTTGCGCGTTTGCTGCCCTCTCCTCGCGATGCGTAACCATCGCACGAACCATCGCAGGACTTTTGGTTATGTAATATATTACCTGTTTTTGTTGTTCGTGATTTTTCATATTGGGATAGCACCCTTTTTCCCGATGCTTACGTTATTGGATCCGGCCTTTTATGCGCGTTGTATTCTCATGTTCAGATTGACTAAACTAATGACATGACGCTCGTGTGTCCTGGCTGGCTTGGCGTCGTGAATTGTGCAGCTAGCTGACGCATTACTGTGTTGAGACCCTTGTAGCGTGTGCTCAGGCATGTGCTTGATTCGGGGTGAGCCAGAGTTGACCTCGGGATGAAACCAACGTTTGTGGAGTCAAGATGGAACAATCATTTCGAAAATTTCTTGTGAGTCGCAGTCGGAGTTGCGTCGACCACGCTATCGCTGAAAGGAATACAATGAAATTGCGGATAACAGGATATAGTTCTTATTGGCGCTGGCATGAGCACCAAATGGAGCAAAGCCACATGACACTGCTTTGCCATCAGAATAAGTGTCCTATGTAGGTAGTGGGCGCAAAATGGCCCCAGGGCTAGGCGCGCCCTAAGACACCAATCATCATCATCATCATCATCATCATCAGCATCATCATCATCATCATCATCATCATCTTATATAGGTCCATAGTCATACCCAGCCAGCTGGTAGTGAGATCATACACAATATGGTTCTGGATACTACTGTGTCGGGTTAACCCCGTTACGTATGGGGGGGGGGGTAAAAGTGAGCGCGTGTGCGTAAATGAGGGAGTAATTGAGTGAGTGTGTGTGTGTGTGTGTGTGCGTGCGTGCGTGCGAGCATGCGTGCGTGCGTGCGTGGGTGGCTGGGTGTGGGTGAGTATGTGTGCGCATGTGTGTGTGTGAGCGCGCGCAGATATGCAATGGTGGTCGGTCCTGGTTAATGGCTGTCACAAGGGGTGGGCTGTTTCTAATTCTGTCATCACGCGAACGTTTTTCAGCTGTTCCCATTTCTTTTCATATTAGTCTTGCTTATGAGCCAGCTTTGCACCAAGACATTCGTTTTGGGCTTCATGTTTCAGTTTGTTTGTCAAGTGAGTTACCTTAGGCCGCGTTTCTGTAGATCGCGACCGGTAAATAACCAGCATTGCTAATGATATTAGAAGCACTTTTATTGGCTGTAGGCCAGTCAGGAACAGCCAGGTTTTGGCATCTAGTACGAAGTTGTTTTGATAACGTATTAGGATCTTAGTTTTAATGCTCTGTATGTAGGCTTGAATTTTAGTGCACTTCCAGTAAGTATGGGCGAGTGTTTCAACCCTGATTACTTGCAGATATATCTTGGCTGTAAGGATGCGATTGGCACGTTTGTTGCGGAAAATTCGTATGTATGTTGAATGTGTGGCATTTATCACTTCCGTCATGCTGTTCTCTACAAAACATTCTTGTTCCATTACCCGTTCCTATTTCTGGCGCTCGGTTGCTCGACTTATGCTACCACGTTTAGATCACATGGATGTATCGTAGGCTAATCGTGAAAATCTTGGATGATTCGCTACACGATTTCTTCTCGATGGCTTGACGGGCGTGGCAATTATAGCAGACGGTGATTCTTTGACGTCCAGGGGAGGACTCCTCATCGAGCTTGCATAATTTAGAATCGCCATTCTATTTACATTTGTATTTGTATTTGACATCAGCTTACATCCCACAGACACTGGCGGTCACGTGCCATCAGTCTGAGGGATAAAACAGTACGTAAAAAACAACGGAAAGTGATAAAGGACATAAAAAACACATAAACGCATGCACGCATAACCAGTATGAGAAAGCCCTATCGCACGAAAGTGAACCTGGCAGTGTGCTTAAAACTTGTTGAATTCGGTTCCTGAATATCCACAGGCAGTTCATTAATGACAGGCACCACTCGTAATGCAAATGACCGCTGTCCCGCCGCCGTGCGCACCGCGGGGGGCGCAAGTTACGGTCCACGCGCGTCAGCGCATGCTTGAAGCAAACAGGCAAGGCCCTCGGGACCGCCTCGCCCACGGGCTTAATGCGCAGCGATAGCAGTGTGTACGCTACACATTTGGCGGGGCGTGGCAAAGCGCAGGCCACCCCGCGTGCGAGCTACGCGGCCATACTTTCACAGACCAGTAACTACTCCTGTAGCGAAGTTGACTACTTTAAGTTGCCTGGCCTCATTAACAGCTGACCCCCAGCCATAAACCGAAATGCAGTATCTCACGCGCGAGATGACTAGGCCCTGCACTTTGGTCAGCAGCACTCGTCGCGGGAGGGAAATCTCAGGTAGCGGAGACCGATCAGGACGCCGATGCGCTTTTGTGCTACATTGCTGACGTGTGCGTCCCGGCTCATGTGGCGGTCAAATAGCACACCCAAGTTTGGCATGGTCAGGCTCTCCCGAACGGTCTCCCTACCGAACCGTATGCTGGCAGGGGAAAGTCCGCGAGTGTTCTGTCGAGTGCCAAGGAGAGGGAGTTCGGTTTTGGGTGCGTTGAGCTTGAGACCGTGGGCATGGAACCATGATGGCAAGGAAGACGGTGGTTTCCGTGCGTTGGGTAAGGGAAGGAAGGTTGCGTTTAACATCGGATGTGAGGATTTGGGTGTCGTCAGCGCACTGGATCACATGAGCGCCTGCCGTGTGCAGGCTGAGGTTGTTGGCGAAGAATATGAATAAGAGTGGACTGATCTCTGGAAGACTCCATATTATTGGGGAAGGGCTTGAAGCTCACTCTGTCAAGTAAAGAAGAGGAGATGAAGATTGACTGGGAATGACCAGAAAGATAGAAGGAGAACCAAGCCAGGATAGTGTAAACATAATAAGATAATAGGGCTGGAGCTTGGAAAGTAATTGAGCATGAGGAAGGACGTCTAAACATTTGCTGACACCCAAGAGGTACAGGAGGGAAAGATGACCACGATCCATGTCGGACAGAAACCATGCTGGGATGAGAACAGAAGGTGACTGTCGGGCATGTAGGTGAACACCGGGCGCTGCACCATACACTCGACAATCTTCGCCATGAAGGGAATGATAGAAAAATGACGGTAATTGGCGATCAGGGTTGGATTGCAGGATTTGAAAATGGGATAACCCAAGGAGTGCTTCCGGGGGACGGGAAAATCGGAAGAGGTGGGGCAGGTGTTATGAAATGGAGGGGGGTAGGGCTGATGACGCAAAACAGATGAATAGGATACAAATACAAACGCCATAAGATCCACACGCACCGGAACGCTTCATTGAGAACGAGACCCCGTGCAGCCTGCCAAGGGTCGTGCCAGTCACCCGGAAGCCGCAAGCATCCACCCTGGGCAGGCGGTATGGGACGTTAAATGGCTGTCCGAAACTAGCCAGGCCGGCTGCAGCACGGGGCCGACATTGACAAAATAAGCATTCATCT